TTTTTGACAGATCGAATTTTTGAAATATGTTACTGGCATCTTATCTTACTTGGAATTTTTCTCTGGGGTGCGAGTTTTGGTGCACCCTGTAGGTATATTAGAAATTTTTTTACTATAGGCAATATTTTTTCAAAAGGAATTAAAATTTTAAATAAAAAAATGGTTACATTTATATTTATGAATCACCCTGTATTTCGAAAACTAAACGGTTTTTTATATCCTAGGCGCGATTATATTGCAATAGAATTATTATTTCTTCTTATCTTTTTCACGTTTTTTTGCCTTTTTATACATTTTTTTCCGGAACTCTACTATACTTTTCTCCCACATTGGAGACACTCAAGAGTGAAATAAAATGATTTTAAACATAAGCATTTCAGGGTTTTTTATTTATCGGAATATTTTTTAACTGTTCCAATTTTCCTTCAAATGAAAAACTCAAATAATTATGAACCACCCTGTATTTCGAAGACTTGAATGATTTTTGATATTTTACGTGTGTTTATATTACAACAGAATTATTACTTCTTCCCTATTTTTCCTTCTTTTTCTTTTTTTTGCCTTGTTTTTTTTGTGGCTTTTTTTGACGTATAGTTTCTTTTGGAATTCTATGAATTTAAACATAATCATTTCAGCGTTTTTATCAATATCTATTTAGAAAATTCAAATTTTTGATTTTTTAGAATATTTTGTTGATTGGTATGACTTTTGAACTTTTTTTATTTAAATGAAAAATTAAAAAAAAATCATGAAGACTTGAATGGTTTTTGATATCTTATAAATGTGTTTTTATTACAACAGAATTAGTATTTTTTCTTACCTGTTTTTACCTTCTTTTTTTACAACTTTTTTATAGGGTTTTTTGACGTACGCTTTTTTTCAGAATTCTCTCATTTTCTCCAAATTAAGACATACAAGAGAAAAATAAGATGATTTTTTTCTTACATTTTTAGTCAACTGGTGTGACTTTTGATCTATTTTTAATCAAATGAAAAACTCAAAAGAAAAACTATAAAAGAGGCTTAAGCTTTTTAATTTAAAGGAATTAATTACCTGAGATCTTGTTTTTGATTTTCTAAGTATCAAAAGTATCAAATTTTGAGAAAGAAAACCATTTTTGATTTTACAAAATTCTTGTGCTGTTTTTGGAATAATTTTATTAATTTTATTGACTTTTCTAATTATTTTTTGTGTAGATTACAATTCAATAATAATTTTTAAAACCATTTTTCTTCCGAAAAACTCAAAAAAAGATTAATTATGAACCACCCTGTATTTCTTGACTTGAATGATTTTTGATATTTTACGTGTGTTTATATTACAACAGAATTTTTACTCCTACCTATTTTTTCCTTATTTTTCTTGTTGCCTTGTTATTTTATCTATTTAAAAAGTTTAAATTTTTGATTTTTCAGAATATTTTGTTGATTGGTATGACTTTGGAGGTTTTTTTTTATTTAAATGAAAAACTTAAAAAAAATTATGAAGACTTGAATGGTTTTTGATATCTTATAAACGTGTTTTTATTACAACAGAATTAGAATTTTTTCTTACCTGTTTTTACCTTCTTTTTCTACAACTTTTTTTTAGAGGTTTTTTTGACATATGCCTTTTTTCAGAATTCTCTCATTTCAATTGTCGCATTTTCTCCATAGAGACACAAAGAGAGAAATAAGATGATTTTTTTCTTACATTTTTGATTTTTCAGAATATAGATGCACATTTGGCATATATTATAACATATTTCTTAATATCTTGTGCATATTTTTGTGAAAATGCGCATATTTTACGTGCATATGCACTTAGTAATTACCAACATCCAAAATTATTTTTTCGCGTGAGATAATGGCCGAAATTTCAAACAATGGTGATTGAAGCCGTTCGTCTTTGATGCTGTTCTTTCCTGATTAAATTCGATGCTTTGAAACTAGAATGTCTTTGTTCCGTGAATACATTTGAAACCTTCTGTATTTAAATGTACAAAGTGGAGCTTGGAGGCACATTTCGAACATAAAATTTACAATTTTTTATCCCTTCTGGAGTTTTTCTCCAATTTTCTGCTTATCACTCCAATGGACCAGCGACAACTGCAAGTTGAAATGTTGAGCTTCATCGAGTTTTCCGATTGACTATCTCGGAAAATGTTGAGAGTTTACAACCCTGTCGTATCGCAAGATACCACGCGTCAATATTTACACCACTGAATCTGTCTCGCTCAAAAATATTTCATTTGTTAATTAAAATTTTTATTTATCTCATACATTGAATAATAATTAAAATAATTTCCATTTAGATAAATTAATTATTTCGTTATTATACACCATATCCCAGCGAGTTGAAAAAGTCCAAGTGACCTTGAAATGGTAAAATTAAAAAAAATTATACAGGGTGTCCCAGCGAGCTGGTAAAGTCCAAAATTGAGCTTTAAACGATAAAATTTTAAAACATGTTTATAGGAAATTGCTGGATGATAATTTAGTCCATCATCTGAAATTATTTTCAACTATACAGCGTGTCCCAAAAATGAGTTACGATACAAATTTGTGTTTTTACGCTAAACTTTTATTAGTCGATTTCGCTTTGTTTTAGAAATAAGACGTTTTTTGCCGAAAACATGCACTTTTTAAAAATTTAATACGCAAAAACTAAGACAGCTAGAACATTTTTTTTTTACTTCTGCAAAAAAGAAAGTACAGAATTTCAAGCTGTAGCTATTTTTTAGTGTTTTGCATTTGTAAAGATTAATAAATTAAGAAGTTTGTTAAAAGTTAACAGCGGATAAAGGTGTTAAAATATGTTTAAAAAAATAAACAAAAAATAATAAATAAATGTTTAAAAAAACACAAATGACACTATTTTTATTTAATTCAATTACTTTCCGACGTATTCTTGACAAAATTTTGCGAAAAAATTGCGTTTTTTATTGAAAAATTTTCGAATTAATTATGTGATTTTTCGGCTTATTTTTGACGAAGTTTTGTGCTCTTGATTGAAAAATCTGCTAAAACGTTTGGAAAAGCAACCAGATGATTTTTCTTTCGCCTCAAAAACATGCTTAAACTCTCCAAAGAAGCAAAAATAATTTTAGTTTTGTGATAGTTTTTGTTAATTTTTTACCTCATTTTCGACGAAAATTTTCAAAACAATTGCGATTCTGACTAAAAACATCCTAAAACGGAAAAATGTTATTATTTTTGAACAAAATTTTTAGCATAATCTAAAAAAGTAAAATGAACACCATTTTTGAGTAAATTTAGCGATTCGTGACGAAATAATTTTCAAAATTTTTAATTGGAAAACGTACTAAAACGCTCAAAAAATCGTAAAAAAAGTAATTTTGGTGTCAATTTGGTAATTTTTCAATATGTTTTAACAGAATCTTACAAAAAAACGTGATGTAAACAAGCAAAATTCATTATTTTTTACTTAATTTGGTGACTTTTCGGTATATTTTTGTCTAAATATTTCGATATAATTCCGTGTCTTATTGAAAAATATGGTGTTAATATGGAAAACCGTTTTCAAAAAATTCGTTGAACTAGCTTCAAAATTACACCTAGTACACAAGAAAAAATATCTTTTTTGGTTTTTAGAGAACTTAAAAAAGTAGGAACATGGTGTTCAATATTTTTATTTAATATTGTTACAAAAACTTTTGAATTTTTTTTGGTAAAAATAATTGGTTGAAATAACTCATTTTTCCTAATTCTTAAGTTATTATCCTAGAAATAATTAAAATTATATTTTAAATTACTAGACTAGTATCTATCTATTTTTAACTCGTTGGGACAGCCTGTATATTTCTATTAAAATTATCTTTTTTAAAAGCCTACAACCGCTCTCTAACAATCAATACTTGAATGTCTTATGTATGGATTTACAGCTGTAGAAAAAAATCCATTTTAAAACAGTCGTAAACAACAATAACGTAGTGTTTGTTATGAAATAAAGTTTTCTAATTTAAACTAAACCATTAACCACGAGATGGCAATAGACGTGGTTTAGGTTGAGATGAAATCTTTATTCCAGAATCGATGTGAAAGAGAGGAAAAACAGGAAATTGGAATTCCTCTCAAACAAGAAAATGTAAGGACGGATTCAATAACTAACATCCTTAGTGTCGTAGTTCAAATAAAGCAAACTTGAACAGGAAAAGGAGAGTAATCAAAAACTGGGAATGTATCAAGTAAAAAATATATTTCTTTTAAATTAGAATTTTTATTTTTACGTTTTACACTAAATTTTTTTAATTATTTTAAAAATTTTGTTCTTTTTTTTTAGTATACTTTTCATTTTACTTACCTTTACTCTTTTTCTTATTTTGTCAAGACTATATCCAAAATGGTTAATGTTTTAAACAATACGTATGTAAAATATTCCAGGAAGTTGATTGGTGTAAAGAAAACTTCAAAATTCGTAAAACTTTCGTCGATTATCTACTTGAATGTTATTAACTTTATCAGCAATTTTCTCGAAACCTATTTATCGTAGGACAATGACTTTCTTATTATAATTTAGAAAATTAACGATGCTTTCCTATAGTACTAAAAAAATTAAACTAAACGTTTTTTTTTTTCATTTCTAAAAGTCCTAAATTTTACTGATTCCAAAAAAACCTCATATTTCTATTTTGCGTCTGAAAGAAAGCTTATTTCGATACCAAAACCGATGCTTTAATGAGCCTTTTCAACACCATTTCGGCTGAAATAGAACAATACTTACTTTTTATAGGTTGGTAACGGTGATTTTCAGCAGCCATTTCTCTCATTTTAAGTGGTGTGCATGAAATATTTTCAGTATTTATTGTAAATTCAACAAAATTTTGGAAAATACACGAGACTTAACACTTCGAAAATCGAATTTTTATGTTAAAAAAGTACGTAAAACGTGCAAAATAGAAAAAATAGCATACAAACACAAAACGAACTATTTTTTAAAGTTGTAATGTTATCTACCTCAATTAACTTCTTATAGAAGAACAGGGAAAGAAAAGACAAATAGAAATGGAAACTAAAATTTATTCCTGGACTACGTCATGAAAAGAATGAAACATATCTTCTAAATTATCATCGTTGTCATCCTTGACTTCTATGGAGATTTTTTTTGGCTTTTCTTCCATTACTAAGTCATTAGATGACGACACCGAATTCGCTACTTCTTCAACAACACTATTATTTTCAACAACTTCCATTTCCTGAACAACTTTTGGTTGAGAAATCACAATATCACTTATAATATGAATTTTCTTTTCAGTGTCACTTTCATGATTCTCTGGAGACACTTTAGAATCAACATTATTATCCTCCACTTCTACATCCATTTCTAAACTAAGCAAATCAGAAGAACCGACTTGCTGATCCGATTTAGACTCAGAAACATACAATGAAGCACAAACAGGTTGACTAATTTTTTCCAACAAGTCTAATCCTTCCATTGACATTTGCCATATCCCATGATTGGAACTCTTTGCTCCATTGGTAAAAATCATGACCAATGAATGTAATGAAGGCAAGGAACTGACATTCTCTTGCGAGAAAATTGCAATTAAAACCTCATACAACTTGACTTGACATTTGGGGTCAACATATGGAAGAACCACTTTACTAATTTGCAGATCACCGACAATTCGCACAAGAGTGAAGACGATTTCCTGAAAAATCGACTCTAATCATTCACAAAAAAAAAACTATGGTACGATGCAAGTGAAACTTTTTTCGGACCAATACACCGATCAAAACACACAAATACTTGCACGAATGCGCAAGAATATAAATGCTACACAAGATAAAATACAAGTTATGTTACACCAACCTGTAGTAGGGTCTGATTGTATGTCAAACAACTCCCTTTCAGTAAACATTTTAACGTTTCTAGTGCACTAATACAGTCATTTCCTCTATTTGCCAAAACCCTAGGACAAATCGTAATTAAAAAATATCACAAAATTGAAATAGAATTACTGTTTATTTTTCACCTCCTTTGACTTAGTTTTTGACACATCCAAATTAAGTAAGACATTTTTTCGAACTGGAGAAATGTCTTTAATGGCCATTGTCACTACAGCCTCCTCCAAATAAGTCTCATTCACATTTTTACTCATCATTAACCAAATTTGCAATGTTTTATAAAACTGAGTTTTGAAAGATCTGGAACGAATACAATATTTTTTCTATTTCCGTCCCGAAATAAACTTACGACTCAATGAAACAATTGCAATTGCGCTTCGCAGTGTTTGCCAAACTTTTCTTTAGTTCGTAGGCAAATGGCAACAAATTTGGCTGAAACCTGAAAAAATGTAATAATTTACAAAGGTATGCAAATTGAGTCGTGTAGCTTCATTTCAGTGAAGTAACTAGATATGCATGTAGGAGAAGCAAACAAGAATTTGCACTCATGTTGGAACATCACCTTTAAAATATGGAATTTGTCTTACTCACCCCATGGTGAAAATGCGAAGGAGTTTGAGTAATCGCATCTGGATATTTCGTAATAAAATTGATTTTTTTATATCTTCCTCTGTGATAATCTCTTTTGTAAAACATAAATGCACCGAGAGGCCTCTACAAATGATATCAACGACGAATTTTGGAACTATTCGCTTTTCAACAGTGTATTGTTTACTAAAAATAAGAGTTTAATCGAGGATAATAACGATTAGAGTAGTTTCATTCCAAAACGATCACTTTTAAATCTCATTGTTTTCGAGGTGACACTATTTTACCGTTTTTTTATTTTTAAATTAAGTACCTCGAAGCTTGTTTTTAACAAATAATTTTGCAAATACAAAAAAAAATAATTATGCAGGTTTTTGAAATTCTCAAAAAATTCATGTAAAAACGCAAAAATGGCTGAAAAAAAAATGTAATATAACCCAGGGATCGTTTCAATGAAAGCTAAATAGGAGTTTAAAATTATCCATTACCTTAATTAATAAATTAAATTGTTCTAACTTTCTTATGTTTTATTATTTTTTACTATCAATAATATGTATTCAAAAAATATCTCTTTAGATGTAGTAGTTTCAAATAATTCAAATATTACGTTTTGCTATACAAGGGGAACAAAAAGTATGGAACCAAGAGTTTATTTTTTATTTGTCTTCGGAAAATAATAATTAATAAAAATTAAAGTGCTATAAAAAATGTGAACCTATTTTGAGATTTGTTTTTGAGTTAAGCGATTTTCTTTCTTCAAAACAACAACTTATTTGAAATTTTTTTCGATAAAAATTAAGTAAAATAGAGATCTTTTCAGTACTTTATCATTTATCATTAGTTTTTTCAAATAACAAATAATTTAACCAAAATACGTTTGGTTCCATACTTTTTGTTGACAATTTGAAAAACACTGCGATTTTCTAAAATATTGTTTTAGACTAGCAAAAAGAACGCGAAATCTACACACTTTTATCTTAATATCAAGAGATTAAAATCTAAAGGGTATAAATTTGTTTCTAAATATTGATTTTTGAAAAATAAATAGTAATAAATTATTGGAAATTATGTGTTTTAATAGAACAATTTATTAATAACGGTAATTGGCAAACAAAAATTCAGTTAAAACTATACTTATTAGATGTTTTAAAGCACTCAGGCGACATCTTTTGACACTTATTTGAATTATTAGTATCTGAATTTTTCTTAAAAGTCGAGATAACGATAAAAAATCCTTGTTTTTTTCTGCTCTTATACTCTTTCTCTTTCTTATGCTTTGCTCTTATGCGTTTATCTTTCTCCTGTTATACTTATTAGAACATGTTCACATTTTTAAGTTTCTTTGATATTTATTTGAGTTTGCATTAGAAAAAAAAATGCTGACTTTACCTGAGTTCCATCCCCGGACCTACCTGTCTGAAAACGAGACCTTATAATTTTTCAAAAATTAATTTCTCGCGTATCTTCAGCGTTTTAACACTTTCCTAGGTCTTTTGCACTTTTGATTTTTTGATTTTTTCGATTCTTGGTAAAATATTGTCCTGTGCACAACAAATGACCAACTTCACGTATTAATTTCAATGTGAAAAGTACAACTTTTTTCATGATTGTAAAAAATATCTATTATTTAAAAAAATCAAATATTTTGAGTTATGCGATTTTCTTTCTTCAAAACAGAATTTTTTTTCGATATAAATAAAATGGAGATAGTCACATTTTTTCAGTACTTTATCATTTATCAAAATAATAAATATAACCAAAATACGTTTGGTTCCATACTTTGCGATTCTTTAATATATTGTTTTAGCCTTAGCAAACCGCAAAAGAACGCGAAATCTACACACTTTTATCTTAATATCAAGAGGATAAAATGTAAAGAGTACAATTTCTCTTTAAATTTATTTTAAATATTTTTTTAGAAAAATAAATAGTAATAAATTATTGGAAATTATCTGTTTTATTAGAACAATTTATTAATAATTGGTCAACAAAAATTCAGTTAAAACTATATTTATTAGAACATGTTGCATGTTTTAAAGCACTCAGGCGACATCTTTTGACACTTATTTGAATTATTAGTATCTGAATTTTTCTTAAGAGTCGAGATAACGATTAAAAAACCCTTGTTTTTTCTGCTCTTTTACTCTTTCTCTTTCTTATGCTTTGCTTTTATGCGTTTATCTTTCTCTTGTTATACTTATTGGAACATGTGCACATTTTTAACTTTGGCCCACCATCTTTTGACATTTATTTGAGTTTGAATTAGAGAAAAAAAATTGCTGACTTTACCGAAGTTCGATCCCGACCTACCTGTCGGGAAACGAGACCTTATGCCGCTACACCACAACGCCGCCGACAGTTCCTCACAAAATTTTTCAAAAATTAATTTCTCGCGTATCTACAGCGTTTTAACACTTTTCTAGGTTTTTTGCACTCCAATAAGTTTTGATTTTTTAATTTCTTCGATAATTGGCAAATGACCAATTTCGCGTATTAATTTCAATGTGAAAAGCACAACTTTTTTCATGATTGTAGAAAAAAAAATCATTCTGTTTTTAAGATATTTTTTTTGCCTCAAGATAAAAAATTGGCGTTTTATAACAATCATTTCTCAAATTTACGAAAATCGGAAACAATGAGCTGTAAAAGTGATGTTTTTTTTGGAATTACTCTGTAATAAATCAACTTACGCCAGCATCGTTTCAAGAAAAACCAAACAATTTAAAATTCTAGTCCCAGTGACTTCGAAAATTTTATTCGAGTCGGAAAGTTCCTTAAATTTGAAACTTTCACCATCAATTTTCATGGTGTTGTTAATTTCAGATACACCTTCGAGAAACATATCATACAAAATTTGAATCGTGGCACAGATTTTTCGAAATTGGGACTCGAAATTATTAACGTGATTAATTCCGTTAACTCCTGCACCTCCAGTCTAAAAAAACCGCTTGAAATTTTTTCATACAAAAAAAAATCGTAAATTACTTGGAGAAAATACACAAAAGCTGTGGCAGCAATTTCGGCCACTTCACACGAACTGTCCAAAGTTTCGATTAAGAAAGCTTCGATTTTTTGTTTGTGGTTCCCAAACCACGTGGGGTACCGTTTCATGCATTGAGACAAGCATTTTAAACAAGATAATTTTTCATCGTTGTTGTGGGTCACCAGACAAGCTTTCAGTGTTGTAGAAAGGTACTCGGAGGAGAATTTTTTGTTGAAAGCGTCGATTTCGCCCGAATTCTCAATAATTTTGGCTACAAAACAGAATTGAAAAATAATTTAATTCGTTGCGAAACCGTCGATTAATCAACATGTTGATTGTATTCCAACCAAAGAGCTATTTACATTAACATGGATCAATCAAGGAGAAACCAAACCATTAATCGGAAAATACAACTTCCGGAGTTGGAATTGTGCTCCGGTCATGATGAAGAGAGCAATCAATAACTGTATTAGCAAATATTTATCACAAGTCAAAAAATGTTAGCAAAACTCTCATTTTGTCACGTGACCGTTACTATTTCTTTTTTCTTCACTTTTAACTACGGATACCTAAAGACTAGGATACGACACGATGTAAAATAGTTCCGTTAGGGAGGCCAGATAGCGCAGTTGTTCCTTTCCCGTTTAAGTTTTAAGAACAATGAATTTAAAAAAATGGCTAGTTTACATAACGCAAATAAAAAATATATAGAGCATTAAATTCTCAATAATAAGAGATTAAGGTAATGCAACAATTTTATTGAAAACTATATTTTTAAAAATTTCAAACATTTAGCAATATATTTTCGAAAAAGCTGCGAATACGGTTAAAGGTGCAAGAAAAATATAAAGAAGAAAGTTGTAGAGAATAAAATTTTTAAGAAAAAAGTATAAAGTCGATTTTTTTTCATTCTAAATACATAAATTTAAATAAATAAATTTGAAAGTCAAGGTTGCCAAACTAAAATTTTAAATTTGACACCAATGTAAAGAAAACGATCATCATTTACAGTCACCCTATATTAACGATTTTACTTAAAAAACATGCTAAAAAACTTGATAAGGACAAAAATTATGACTTCATTTGATGTTTCTTGGTTTGTTTTAGCAAAATCTGGCAATTAACACCATTTTCGGCCATATTTTGTATTTTTTGTCGTATTTTTTTTGATAAAATTTCATGCAAATGAGCTAAATCGAATGAAACAAACGAATTTAGATATATTTTTGTTGTGTTTTGTGTGCATGTTTTGACAATGTTATGCAAAATAAATGAGTCTCTGGTTCAAAAACGAACTAAATCGGGCGAAACACGCTAAAATGATATCAATTTCAAGCTAATTTGGTAATTTTTCAGTAAGTTTTAGCAAAAATTTGAGTGCTGAAACACGATAAAAATGCAAAAATAACACTAGTTTTGGCCTAATTTGATAAATTTTCGGTTTGTTTTTAACGAAATTTTGCAAAATAGTTCTGTTTCTGGCTAAAAACATACTAAAACGCTCAGAAATGGACAAAATAATGTACTTTTGACCCATGTTAGAGATTTATTTTTTTAACTTGTTGGGTGAAACATTTAGAAAAACAAAACTATCTCTCGGTTTTTCAACTTGTTTTTGAGAAAATTTTAGTAATTGAGTTTTTGCGTGGATAAAAAACGCGCAAAATGCTCAAAGATTACGAAAAAATAGTGTCATCATCTTTTACTGAATTTACTATATCAATAATTAAAAAATCAAATTAAACATTTGGGGAATTACTCGATTTATAAGAATTATTACAAAATACATTAATTTTCTGCTGTAACTTCTGTGAAGTTTTTAAACAAATCATAAAAAATTAGAATTTTTACAAAAATTTCCACCAAATCATAGTACCTATAAAAATCACCAGATCAAAGTTTAGATCAATTAATTATTCATTATATTTTTTTTAAAAAACGCAACTAATCAACGATGTTGCGGAGAAAGTTTCGTCCCACTTTTAATTTTAAATACATGTTTTTTTTATAATTTTTGATATACAGTGTGTCTCATTCTTGCAGTAAAAAGCATGAAACTAGATTTTTTTGCTTTAAATATCTTATTTCCAAATAAACTACTACGAAAATGTTATTCTATTTATTCTCTACAACTTTCTTTCTTACATTTTTCTTGTATCTTCAACCGTATTCGCAGCATTTTGAAAAACATGAAACGGAGCACAGATTTTAAATTTTAAATATTTTTTTTTCTCATATTTCTCGTGAAACATTTAGTCGTTAATTTTTCACAGCTAATTAAGAATGTAAAACTCAACATTTTTGCATTTTTTCCAAGCAATTAGTAGACTGGTTGAATTTAAATTAATTTAAAACGATTTGAAACTGAGACGGTAAAACATTTTTACTCCGCCGTACTATTTTTTTTGGGTCCAAAAAATCGAGCAATTTTGTATCTCGTTTCGTCTCCTGTACTTTAAACACAAAAAAAAGTATTTTTGTAAAGGCTAACTGCGAAACAACAATAAAAAATCTCCAGAAAAAACAATAAACCAAAAATGCAATCACAAACAAAAACAACAAAAAAAAAAATAAAAGTTAAACTTGAACTTGACGATTCTTCAATTTTTCTGATTTGACTTACAAAATGCGTTCATTTCGGCCAAAACCTCATGTTTCACCCTTGAAATCTCCTTATTTTTAAAGAAATTAAGAGTTACCTAAAGTGTTTAATTTAATTTCTTTACTCCCATCTTCCACATGGTGAACCGTGCAATGGCTCGCCCACTGTAGGGCATTTTCCACGAAGACTTCGTGAGAACAGTGCAGAATTAAATCCTTCAGGAGTTGCAACCCCTTGAGACGTGTTTTCCCATTTGCTAACAGATTATTCACTGCAGTAATTACAGATTTTTCGCTTTCGAGATTTTGCATGCTGACAAACAGATACTCTGAATCGGGGGCAGAGACCACAATTTCTCTGAAGTTATTTGAGTCAAGGGGCATTTTCATTTCTTGACCTAACTGAAAAAATCAAATATTTGGGAAAAAAAACACACAAGACACTTTCACTTCATCAAATATTCGTGATATTTCAAAAGAAAACACTGAAACACGTTTCTTGAACATACAAAGCTAGGTTATGTTTATTTTGACATAAAAAGTTAGGTTATGTTTATAAAAAATATATACCGGGTGAATGTATGAATAAAGTATTGAACCAAGCGTTTTTGCACAAAATTACCTTACAAAAAAATAATTAGTGCAGTGTAAAGTACTATAAAAATGTGATCGTTTTTAACGAATAAAATTCACAAAAAAAAATTTTGTTTACTTAAAGAAATAAGTAGACATAAAAAATGTCAACTGTCAAAAAATAAATGTCAATTTTTTTTTAAACATGTTTCTGGTATCTATCCATGTATTGTAAAATAATTTTAAAAAATCTTCACCAATTAGGTACATTTTGTTACAAAATTTAAAAAAAAATAAAATTAACTAACAAAAATACCCCTAAATTATGTTTTTCTGATTTGTTGTAGGTAATTATTATTATTGTCATTTCTTATTAATAACTTGAAAAAATAATGCTTTTATTTGCTGCTTTTTGACATTATACTAATGACATTGCAACTAGATTTTATTAGTTTTTATTTATTTATTTTTTCAACTTTAATATATTTTTTTTAATATTATTTTGTAAAAGTAAAACATATTGAAGATGGATGTCTGTACCAGTGAAAAAAAATGGGACTCAATTTAAAATAAGAAAGTTGAATGAAACTATGACATTTAGAAAAATTCTAAAATCGTCAACTTATACTAAATTAAAAGCCATTTAATTTTAAATTACTTTTATTATGAGCTAAAAATGACCTTTTTGGTTTTTCGTTACTATTATGTGGCAAAAAATTAAATTTCCTAGATGATTGAATTATGAAAAAAAAACCCTGACATTACTGTGTTTGCGTCAAGTGGTTTTTAAACCATTTTAGAAATGAAATATTTATTAAGCCCTTAAACAAGCAATCCCCAGTGATGCCAGATTAGGGAATTTTTCCCTAGTTTCAGGGATTTTTCTAACAAATCTAACAAAAAGGGATGTTTTACATTTTCAGTGAAAATCTCAATTTTTTTCACACTGCTGGCAGTTTCAAAAATTACAAAAATTTTTAATATGAATATTGTAACTTCGCCGAGTTAGACGTATATTCAAAATTAATGAAATCCCATAATTTATAAGTATAAATAAAATCTAAGTAGGTATCTAAATAGACACGTTTATTTGAATTTGTTTTAATTGACTTGTATTTTTTTTATTCCTTTAGTAAAATTTATTTTTTTATGTCGTATTTATATTATATTACCTCAACAAAATAGGCCAATGAAATAGTATCTTATTAATTTTTTAAGTAGTTTAGGGAATTCTAGGGAATTTAGAAGCTAAAAAATCAAAATGAAACACTCCTTGAACTTGTTGAAATTTATTATAATACAACACAGCGATCGTATGTCACATTTCACAACTCAATAGTAAATTGCATACAACTTGAACTAAAATATACATCATGATGAAATCTCGAGTCTTCATCAAAGCTAGAAATTACAAAATAATTTAGATGAGTAAATATCAGTCCCACAGTTTTATTTCTTAGCGGTTGTGTCAGTTATATGATCGGGTTTGAGTCCTCCAGCGAAACGTTCCCACATTTTGCAATACAACAATTCCAATCCTTGGGCATATTGTTTGCAATCAAAGAGCGGCGATGTTGTTCGAGCTGCCCAAACCTTATGCCTCATCGCTTTCAAACTAAAACAACACCACAATTAATCTTGAAACAATTCAAAACAACAAAATAGGGCGATCGGTGGAAAAAAATCCTAGAGAGTTGGAATTTTTTTTAAACGCTTTCTTTATTCTTGGGTAGACATATATCAAAAGTCCCCGAAGGTGGGGGCGAGCTCGAGGAGGGGGAGAAGGCTAAAGGTGTCTTTTTTTGTCTTTTTGCTTATATCTCGGAAACTATTACTCCTAACGGTTTTGGCCTGCTTATCAAAATTAAAGCCTACAAAATTTCCAACAAAAATGGTCCTTTGAATTTTTCGTAGGACTAACTGTAAGCGAGTTATAGGACTGACAAAAAACATCATTTAAAAAAATGTGCTTTATCCGCATTTAAAACAGAATTAATCTTGTGATTTGAAAAAACTGAAAGCAAATTGAATTTATTGGGTGCAACACTTCATTAGAGAGTCTATAAAGTCTTCCGAGTAATCCTTATATGCTGAACTAGCATTTGCCTGCGTGTATTTCTGATATAAAATGGGAAAAAGCCCGTTCACAAAACCATTCCATAGGAGTGATAATTTCCGAGATTTAGACAAAAAAAAAACACCTTTAATGTATGCTATTTTGGTGGTTGCTGTGTAAAAGATAAAATAATGCAAAGTTAAGTGGAAAAACAAGTTAAAGCTGTTTTAAGCCAAACACTCAAAATAAATAAGTTTTCGTTCGCCATTAATTAGCACAAAAARATTTTTCACTGAAYCTTTCTTTGAATTTTTCATKAGCTTYTTAGAAGTCACTAAAAATAAAAGAACTTWATTGACCATTAACTTCACACAAGTTGACGCATTTTAAGCGAGTGAAATAAGACAAGAATTATTTTTTAATTCAAAATTGAACTAAAATCAGCGCTTGAAATTACTTTGGTTGGCTACATGTAATAGGCGGCGAGGTAACTAATATATCAACTTGAATTCTACTATTTGTTCCCCATTATAATGGATGTCATTTTGAATGAATCGAGCATTTAAAACATTTTAAATACGAAACTGATCAAAATTAATAAAGATTTCGACAACTTTTTTAATTAATGAGAGCACACACGTTTCAAATAGCTCATTATTTTTTTAATTAAATCTCTTTCTCTTCAAAATCACTTGTCAGTCGGTCTTTTGATTTATCATTGCCTCAATTAGAATTACAAAATTCAGGATAAAATTTCGATTTATTACGAAATTAGTGGCGGTTCTCGGGGTTCTAGCAACAATAACAACAGCTTTTGTGATTACAAAACTTTAGAAGTTTGATGTAGAGTCTAGTYTTCTGTTTTATTACACGGTTCGTTTCAATGCAAAATTAATGGAATTATAGGAAACTCAATATCTGTCGTCAACAAGAATTAATAGCCCCGTTGAAAACATTTCGTAAATTAATATTCTGAAAYSATGAAGATAAAAAAGCTAGTATTTCGTACTAGAATCCTCAATGTTTAAACCTTATTAATTTGTCTCGTAACTAAGTTTAAATTGCTACCAGCATTATTTCTTTTAAAACTAAGTTGATAGAATTTTGTAAATGAAAATTAGAGAAGTTTAAAAAGTTTTGAACGAAATTATAATAAATGGAAATTAATTTTCCTCCTCGTGTTGAGACTGCAAGCATTGATTTTGGCAAAATAGCTATCTGCGCAAATAATGACAAAGAGAGAGAACGAATAAGTATTATTAAACGTCAGGAAGATTTGACAATTATAATATTCATAATGAAGTTGTTAATTTATGTGATCTCCTATATGATATATTTTTGATACATGTCTACCCAAGTATAAAGAAAGCGTTTAAAAAAAATCCAACTCTAGGATTTTTTTCCCACCGATTTGTCTAATTTGACTGGGCCTAAAACTTACTATTCCTTATCTGTTCCTAACTTAATAGCAATTTCTTGATATTCCTGCCTGGACCGTGCTATCAATTCTGGACACCCAAGTGTGGCTAATTGACTCGCGGCTACTCTCGAGGCTAAAGTCTCCCCCGGGAAGGTCACAACCGGTGTCCCCGTCCACAAAACATCCATACTGGTCGTATGTCCATTACACAACGGCGTATCCAGACACACATCCGCCAATTGCCCCCTCCTCACATGCTCCTCTTTGGCTGCCACATTACTAAATAAAATCTTTCCGGGTGGAAGTCCCAATTGCTGGGCTGTCGCCTGTAAATTCGGCTCGCCAACAGCCGGGAAGCGCAACAGCCACAACACTGCATTGGGCACAGCCTTCAATATGTTGACCCACATGTGCAATGTCATTGGATCGATTTTGTACAATTGGTTGAAATTACAATAGACGACTGCGTCGTCAGGAAGTCCATATTGTTGTCGAGTCGTAATTACGATATTTTGGGGGACTTCTTCACCAGTTGCGGCTTTGTTGTTGGTTTGAGTCGTGGCTAAACCGTTTTGGACTACTACTCCGTTAAGGGAGGTCTGGACTTGGCCCGATGCGATCATGTTTTCGATGGGAGTGGTGGTGGGGAGCTCCGCCACCTTCAGGCTGATTTCCACCATCTTTGCAGCCTAACAGCAAAATTAGAGAAAATACGTTAAAGAAAATATCTACTTTATATTAAATAAATTTTTATATAAATACAGCGACACTCAAAAAACGGCAAGTGCTATAGATTTTTTTTTATAGATTACGATAATTAAAAAAAATAATTAAATAGCAATTTTAGAATTTTTTTGAACGTCATAGTATATTTTGGACTTAAATTTTAATTGGAACCCACATTTTTTGTTATTTCAAAAAAATATCAAAGCTGAAAAAAAGTAAAATCTAGTAGCATTATGTCAAATAAGACAACAGTCATTATTGTAATGTCAAAGAGCAGCAAATGAAAAAAGTATGTCAGTATTTTTAAAAAAAT